AACCTTCGAAGCTTCGAAAGGATCTTTCTCAACCAGTCGCGCCAAGATCGCCATTGAACGTCATCGGACTTAATGAAGCATTCCTCGCCAATATAAGCTTCTTTGGCACCGTATACATGCAATCAATTTATCAAACATGCTGATGCCTACAGATCCCTTTATAGCGATATTGTTCCTCCTTCGAGTTTCGAGACAGGAAAGTTATTTTTCACTGCCGTCAAGCACCGACGCCTGGTGGCGAAACGTAGATGCGCGCCTGTTTCGCCGATGTGTCGATAACAAAACCTGGGTTCCCAAGAAATGTGTTTATAAAGCGATCTCCCTAGTGAAAGCCATTAATTTCTTGTGTCCAATAAACGCATATGAATCATACAAGATATATAAGAACATTTAAGAATCATATAAGATATAGAAGAACATATAAGAAACTTATAAGAAACTTCTCACAAGTTTCTTATATGGTTCCTATATGTTTTTATGTATCTTGTATGATTCATATGTGTTTTTTGGACACAGAAATTTCTCATAAAAATTAGATTTTTTAATGGGGCTATCATCGCGAATTTGGATCACCAAAAATGGAAGGTTCAAGAAGAAACTGCTCATTCCATGGACCAAAATGGCCACCATAGCTCGGCGCTACTTTCCAGAGATCTATTAGTGACTTTAGTATTCGCTGGCGGCCATAATTTGAGTTCGTCGATGCTGAGCGGCGAGCTTGCTCTTCCGCGACATTACCTCCAGCGTACGCATTCCACACCACCAAGTTTGTTGTTCTTGCAAGATAATTGGAGGCTCGTTGTGAGCTCTCGCCGTGAGCAAATTATGCGATATATTTGCACAGCGCGACTGCGCTAGCGCGAACAACCGACGGCAGGTTTGTTCTGTTTTTCTTTTAGAATCAAAAGGCTGCCATCAAAACACTTTTTTGTGAAGGAAAATGCTCATTCGGAGCACGAACGTATATAAGCGCGAAATTCGGTTCCCTTTAATAATAAAACGAAACAAAAAATCGCCGATGTTGCGGCGACGTTAACAGTGTCGCACAGTGTGTCCGTCTTTATTTGTGTGTGTTATTATGCGCGCGATTTTTTTTATTTTATTTATTTGCTTGTTTTTATAATTCTCGGGTTTTACAATGGCGAGCTTTCACCATCGCGCTGGCGTTTCACTTCTTCGTTTGAACTATTTCGTAACCTTTTTTTTTTCCCCCATTCAAGGGCATATAGCGGTATAAGCCCGAAGGAGAAGGGCCCTTCAGAATCGCCGGAGCTGTATCATACAGGGGTGAATGACAAATGTTCCAGAATGTTGGGGAATCTGTCGTAATAGCGACCGCGTTGGGAAACTTTGATCGAACGTTAACTAGGCGCTGTTGAAACGCGGCGCTCGCTCTGCGGTCCCCCTTGCACTCCCCTTTGCACACGGCGTCGCCTCACGCCTCTATGCAAATGAAGGGTGGAAAAAGAAGCCACTTATTTGAGACATTTTGGTTTTTATACTTTTTATGCGTTCCCGAGAAAAATATATAATGCGGTAGACGTCAATTGTGTCGCACGATATAGAGCTTAACTGATGAATGCTAGCAGTCTTCAGTTTATTTGTTTCTCTTTGAACAATAAGTCAAAATGACTGGTCTATTTTTATTCCCTCACTTATACGTTTTCAACCCCCCTCCCCCCATGTTCCCCCACGCCCTCTTTTCGCTTAATAAAAAAAACAAAGAAGTAACTGCCCCATTGTATCGAAATAGCCTCGGTTAGGATGATGTATCGCGATCTAATTAGGGCTACTGTTTTCTTGTTGTTGTTTTTTTATCCCAGAAAACAAACAAAAAATGCTTGAATTTTTCTAATTAAGATAGGCCTTGAGTTTCAGAGTGTACGTTTAGCCAAAGTCGGAGAAACGTTTCCGGGGATTATAGCGATACCACATGGAAGACAAGGCCCGGCCCATGACGTCATCGTTAGTGGATCCTCGACCGTTTCCACTGGCGAACAAGCCGAAGCTCGAGCGCTCGTTCTGAAGGCCCGTTCACACGCGTGCAACCGAGCACGACCGAGAGAGACACAAGGACCAGATGCGTTGTTACGGAGCAGGTCCCACGAAGTCGCAAGAGGCTTAGAAACCGGTCTTGTCTCTCACCGTCCTACTCGGTCGCAAGTGTGTGAACGCCGCTTCAGATGCCTGCGAGTACGCGCTGGTGGCGACGCCGACGCAAACTAGGCGTGCGTGAACTCCCCTCCTCTTTCCACTTCAAGAGAGCGAACGCTGAAGAGGAGGCGACCTCCTCTCCAGCGTTTTTTCTGCTAAAGTGGAGAGAGGTGGAAGGCGCTTCCAATATCCTCTTAACAGCTGTCACTCGAAATATACCTTGTAACACAAAACCCTAATACTCTTTCTTTTTCTTTGCTTTCATAGAACACTATCATTGCCATCTAACTGTCAATTGATTATAAAAATAATTAAACACTCAAAACTGTCTATTGTAAACAAAGTATTCCGACGAAGTAAAAAAATATTGCTTTACCACTTTACTAGATACTACTTTATTACTGTACTAGCACCGACCTCTCGCCCCCCCCCTTTTTTTTTTTTTTGTTTGTTTTACTCTTATTTCTTAGTCACCTTTACAATGTTCCATTTTCACTTCCCTGAGCGTGGAGTAAGTAGCTCAGAGTTCTCTTAAATTGATCATCCTGCAAATCTCCGCAGGATCAACTCTGTCAGACCTTCAAACACTTATCCCACTCTCCCTTCTTCCATTTCTTTTCTTTGTTATACCTTTCTCTCGTTCTTTCTTTCTTTTCGTCTTTGCTCGCTGGTGCCTGACAGACCGTGCCATTTTTGGGCGTTGCTGCGCGCGTTTCATCGCTGTCTTCGCGAAGCGACGATCGCGCTCCGCTGATCGAGGATGTTTGCAGACATCGACGAAATTGTTCCGAGAGCGCGTTACACGCTCGACTTAATCTCGGCGATGCCGCAAAGCGGCAGCGTCGTCGCTCCACCCAACCGGTCGCTAAATTTCGCCGAAAACTGTCCTCGAAAATGTTTCAAACCGTTCGGTATTTTGTGAATTCAATCAGAGAGAGAGTGGGACTGTGAGTCTCGGCTCAGATGCGCGCGCGCCGGGGATTTAACGGGTATTCTCTCCTGGAGTGGAGGTGGGGGAGGTCGGGGAGGTCATACATTTCTGGATTGAGTAGTAAACTCTCCGTTTCGCTGAAAGTTTGACCTTGGCACACGCTACAATCCTACTGAGCCAATCGGGCAGCACCGAAAGTGACCAGGCGGATTTTTTCGGTCGTTCACCACTCACCTAGCTGTGTTTGGAGTTTATGTTTGTCCTTTGTCCCTCTTGTTCCCCTTCTCCAGAGTTACTTTCGTCATTCTTGTCCAGCTCGCTTGCACCTTTGCATTTAATTGCATTATAATTATAACCGAAAGTGCGTCGTCACGATGTTCGTCGTCTCTGTGCGGTTTCTTCCACCAACCAGATCAATCGCGCACAGTGTATGCTCCGAGACCCGGCGCTTTTTTGTTCGCTTGATTGCTTTGGATGGTGGTATAGAAAACGCGCAGACGACGAAAGCCGCAACGAAGCACTTTTGCTGCTACCTGATTGGTGCCATTGGATCGGATATCGTGGGCTGCGGTCTAACTTTAAGCGAAACAGTGTATGAGAGGGAAGAAAAAGCTGCAAATAAAAAAAAAAAAGAAAGCCAAGTTTGGATATTTGTTGTGCAGAAATCACAAATACGCTCGTTACGAAACCATAGATGCCAATCAATAGCCGTTTCATTGATGGCCATCTGTGTACTCTGTGGTCGAGCGCGTGGCTGGCATCGATCGAGCTTTCGCCAGATTTCTTTCACGCCGTCCAACGATTATTATACTCTGTTTCACCTTATGGTGTACCGCAAGAAAGGCTACAAGCGCGAGCTCCTTGCCCTGGGGCGCATCTCGGTGGCACAAGCTCTCGTGCATAGGGGTAGCTGCCAACGCTATGAGCTCGCGCTTCTAGACTTCGCTGCGGTACAACATAAGGTGAAACAGAGTATAGTAGCGGACGGTGTTTCTTTACCCACAGCTCGTGCACATGTTGGTAAATGAGGTCGAAACTTTGTATAAGTGACACTTCTTCGTATTGTCAGGTGCGGATTATGAGGGAAAGCAGACCCACGGGGGGTACCCCAAGGCTCCTTTGGTCTGGCCAATTTAGGCCCGTCACGATGCAACGATGCGATAAAAGGGTAGAAACGGGATAATTGTCTCGCTTGGGTTCCTTTCCTTGTCTTTTACGTTGACTCTGCTTTCTAGTAGAACAATACTTGAGGTCGCACTTGTTCGGAAATGCCAGAAAAAAATGTCCCCGAGTATAGAGTGCCTCGGCGTTGCTTGCTGGCTGCGCCTTGCCAGAGTGGCGATATCTAGGATGGCAAGTACCGCCTTCTCCAGACCGCGGCCTTCATTTTGCCTTTTGCATCCTGACGGGCTTCAAAAACAAACCCATAGTTGACGGAACACCTGACATCGCGTGTTGTCATCCCGAGTTGTTTCGCAAGTTGTAGTGAGCAATAGCATCGGCTGCGTCTGAACTGAAACGAAGTACAGCAGGAATTGGCCCATAGCAAAACTTTGCTGCCCGCTCTAGTCACACTTAAAACCACGTAAGCAGTGAAAATACTCATACTTTCGAAGCATTTCTGTCGTTACGTTGGTGTCGTCGAGCAATCCAAGCAATCTGGGTCTGTCCGTTCAGTGAGTGTCATTGTAATCGAATGACTACATTGAAGAAATGTGCCCAAGACTATTCCGAAGCAGTGGGATATTGTCGGGACGGCGCATCACTCGGCCCTCTGAACACGACAGCCACTTATACGTCTCCATTCCATTTTCCCGTGTCTCCGCGCTTCGCTTTTTTTGTTCGCTCCCTCTCTTTGCTGGAGAAGTGTATTGTTTAACATACTCCTTTGTTTCTTTCTCTGTTGCACACGCAGCGTTGTCGAAGTCCGAGGATCTCTTGGAAGCGTACCGAACTTCCTGCACCAAGCACGGGGTGGAGCCACTCACCAGGCTGCTTCAGCAACTTCAGGTGAGTTCTCTTGTCCATTGAACCATCGCCGCGATAAGAATAAATTGTCTTCGACCTGAACTGGAGTGCAGCTCTAAAGGAACCGGAGGCTAGCGAACTATATATCCCAGCTAGATAAACTAGAAGACGCCATAACCTTCTTTGTAAATACGCTTTGTCGTGCGTGTTGGTTGTCTTTACCTTTAAAATATCAGTATCACAGGACGTTAGACTCACATAGGTTATCTTGTGAATACGACACTGGAGTAAATTAGTGGCCCCCTGTGCTTTTATCCGTATCCGTGTTCACGTAAAAGCATTCAGGATGCATCAATGGAAGCGCTTCAAAAAAAAGAAAAGGGCAGTCGATCAAACACTTTCGTGACCACGAGACCGCCGATAAGTTTGGGAAGGGGCGAACACTTGAGCGTTTATCAACGAGCCCCCATCTCACACGGCTTTCAGAGAACGCGAGAGTGTTTTTGGTCAACCACAACACCTACCGCGGTGCGACATTGTTATCGGCTTTCGGCGGAGGCGGCTTTGTTTGAAGGGTTCTCCGTTTCCCTCGATGCATTCTGGGCGGTTCTCCATCCCCATTTCCGAAACGGCGCTCGCAAGGGTGGGTGCTAATGGAGTTTGCAGTCGCAAACCGGCTGGTGGGGCTTACCGAGTATATTGACGACGAACATTCGTCTTTATCAGCGGCGTAGTGGCCGCGTCGGAAGCGGAGTTCGCCTGCACGTCGGTTTATTCGCGAATGTGTATAGTCGAAAATTTAAAACCCAAGACGCGGGCCTAGTTGGCGAACTTTGGTAGGACTCTTGAAAACCCGAGGGCCCAAGTCTGTGTTCTCGGGTCCCGAGTACATTAGCAGTGTTTTTCGTATAGTTCGCAGTTTGTTCTCCCGTCACATTCTGTAGGAGATCATGGTCTTTCCGATGGCAACGAGCCTTCTCCGATCAAAATCAGACATTCACTTTCACGTCGCATGTCAACTTCTCAAGATATATGTCCAATGCCAACATTATCAGTTAAGTCATGCTTAACTGATGCGAATAAGCGTTTTAATGCACACCTATCCAAGCATATTGATATATAGTAGCAATCTACGGGACTATAAACTAACTCAACTTACTGACGTCACGCCACTACGGTGGCGCTTCTGTCGGTACTGCGCATGCGCAAACGCTTCACTCCCGAATTCGGTTTCTGCGCACTAGCAGTGTTCACACTTGGTGTGGGCAAAGCGGACTTGTTTGGAAACTCTGCGTTGGTCTATATATATGGTGCAGTGATAGCCGAAAAAGCGCAGGGCGTGGTGACTCCCGAGCATCTCATTATTGCCTCGCAGCCAATCAGATTACGGCATTAGCCGATGAGGCGGTCAATGAACCAATCGCGAAGCAACAAGCGTGTACATATCTAGTAAGTCACACCCTACGTTTCTGAAGGTGTCATCGACTATGATAAGCGTCGGCTTCATTCCGCTTACTGGCGACGAGATGTTATGGCTCGTCTCTGTGACGTCACCATCTGGATTATTGATTGGCAGCGACAATTTTGGTGGTGTGTGTGTGTATAAACCACTGTGGGAGCTGGTAGTCATCTTTCGAAGTTGACATGCAGTCTGACATCCTTCTTGTTTTTATTAGTGAAAGTAGAAATCATAAAACTCGAGACATTCATAGCTGAGCGCTTGGCCCCATGGAACTAATGTGATAATCTAATTCGCGGGCCGCTTCGGAATGGCGGTGCATAGAGACGCGGACATTGCCGGTCCCAGTAAGTGGTCTCGATGGGCTCATATCTCTGGCTGCGCACTAGTATGCACTAAGGAGCAGTACAACATCATTTGTAAGTAATGTTGCCACAGACAGCAAGCAAAACAATTGTGAATTCTAGCAAAAAAAAAAAAATCATTAGATTTCTTGAAATTGTCGGCTATACTATTCGCTTAGGATAAATAATATATGGCGATTTTTCAAAAGTTCTCGAAAAGTGTTGCTCAAAAAGTGTAAAAATACGGATAGAAAAAAAAAAGAAAAAAACGTTTTTACGATATATATTTTAGAAATATCCCAAAAAGACAATATTTAACGCGATTACGTGGCAAGTATTCTCCAGCTATCTGTCAAACTGTTGTTCGTTGTTTCGAAAACAAACACTGAAGGTGCCTTTCAAATACTCTCGCTGTATTCTACCGAAAGAGCGTTGAAAGTCATAAAATAAAATAAAGAAAATGGTGACCTACATTGTATTGGTATATGGCAAGCAATAGTATGTTGTTCTATAGAAGTGCACGTGCAGCATTTGAATTCATATTATATGCTCAATTGGTGATGAATTCGAGCCACAACAAACCTTAGTATTTGTATGCCCAGTATACACTAACTTGTACTGCTGTCCAGTGTTTTTGCTAATCATCACATTACAAACATCTCTTTCTTTGGCAAATGTCACTTTTGCTGGTACTTGTCATCGGGTCCTGCTGGCTAACTTTGCCAGCAGTACCGCTATGTACCTGCACATAACGGAACCTGTTTTCCAAACTCGGGAATGAAACACGTTCCGTTATGTACCTCGACATAGCGGATCGTGTTTTCCAAACTCAGAAATAATAAAAGAAAAAAATGACAATTTCTCTAGGCCTGTAAGTCATTATTACCGTGACAAAAGGAAGTATATATGGGGATGAAATAGACAAGTTCACATTTCCATTTCGAATCTACTCCGCATGTCGGTTTGTTAGTGACCTGTACTCCACGAAAGCTCCTTGCGCAAAGTACATACTCGAGCTTCGTCCAAAGGCAATGCAGGTGTGTGTGTGTGCGTATACGCCGTACTGTCGAAGGCTGACCTATGTATAATCCCCATTCCCGATTCACTTAAAGCTCGTGAACGTTTTAGTTCACGATTTGTAAAGGGCGAAGTGTACGCCGGCCTTTAAGCCAGTTTTACCGTGGTCATAATACTAGTTTTTTTTTTTTTTTTTTTTCAATATTCAGTTTTAAATAACCAAATACGGTAGATTTTAAGTTTTATCACTGAATCAATATACTTTTTTGGAAAATCAGTTGAAAATCAGAAAGAAATAACGAAACAGAAGCTCGACAAAACGAACGCGCCTAACGTTTCGTTCTTTCTTTCTGCGCTCTTCTGTGGAGGCTCTTTGTCCTTCTCTCGGGTGTGAGCGCCCAGGATTAGCCGCGTTGTGCTCCCGTCTTCCCGCCCCTTGTTCTCTTCTTTTCCGGGTACCCAAGTTCAAGCGGAGCGTCAGTGGAGGGGCGGGGCCAGCTCCGACCTAGAATCGATATCAAAGGGCGGCTGTGAGGCTCCCCCCGTCGCGGGTGTGCCGCCATCTTGCTTGACCCCTTTGGCACCTTCTCTCTTTGCCTTGTCGGCCGCGTCCTTCTTGCGCAGCAGCGCACGCACATTTCCTTTTCCCGTATTCCCTCGTCGTCCTTTCCTTGACCTTGCCCGATTTCGCTCGCATCGCTGTTGATCCTTTCATTTTTTAGTGCGATTTTAAATTTATGTTTTAAAGGGCCCGGATGTCTCGTTTCGACTTCAATATTGGACAGCTCTGTCTTTCTAGCGGTAGTTTGGGAGCTGCTCGCGGTTCCCGGCCCTCTTTTCCGTGTCTTGCTTTTTGCTTTTTATTTAGGAATGAGGCGAGGTGGTTTTTGCTTTTCGTCGGGGCCTGCAGTGAAAGTGTGGTCGGATCAAATACGTTTATTTGAAGGCATTGTGGTTTCAATGTTTTCTTTTGTTACTGAACATGTTTAGGCGGTTTCTTTCTCTTTTTTTTTTTTTGTTGCGTGAAATATGGCATGTCTCTTTTGGCGATGTTTTCTTTTTTCGCGACGCTTGGCTTTATTACGACGAGTGCTGAAGTTAATTAGGGCAGCGCTCATCGGTGCTCTAATTAACTGTAACAATGACAGTACTAATGACCTTAATAACTTCATACATGCTGGCGTTTTTTTATTTGATTACATGCCTGTTGTTTTTTGTTTTGTTTTGTTTTTACTTTGCGCGACGAATTCGCATCCAAGTGAAGGAAGGAGAATGAGTTCAAAAATGAATGTTAACCAACTAAATATTGAGGGACTTTACAGCATATTAAAACAACAAAAATGAAGATAACACTAAACCATGGACGGGAAAAGAAAAAAAATCATGCGGCTTAATTAACGTAAAAATTAAGAAATTAAAAGTTGGAGAGCTTATTAACTATTCCTAAGGTTTAGGAATGTTCCATTTGGCTTTCATTTGCTCAGAGTCTGTGGAGGCATTACAATGAACCAGCAGTCCCAGCGATCTTTGTTAACACTTTATGTTGGTATCTTAATAACTCGCCAATATTTGAGCTAAGAAAAAAAAAAATGAAAGTCGTTAGGCGACGTGACGATTTTATTGGTTGCAATAGGCGCAATGAAGTTTTTTTTTTATTAACTGATTCAGTGGCGTGACTTTAGGGAGTTGAGTTTGTGTCTATATAAGTGCACCTCGATGGTAAACTGCTCCGCGAAATTCCTGTCATTGATCGGAAGCAATCGATCGACTCCAAAAGCGCGTTATCGCACGATGAGCTGCACGCCAGTATACTGTCCTCCATGGCCATAAAACGAAAGCTTGGCTCGATACATTCTATCCACGCGGTCTTCGAAGGAGTTTACTATGTCATACTTGCCACCCCAAAATGATCGGCAATGCCTTTTACGCATATTCTTTCTTTATTTGTTTTGTTTTCTAAAGTCGGGGTAGCGAAGCGAGGATAGCGAAAACAAGGCAATCACTTTCTGCGTCGTTGACCGCGTATGCCGTGCCCATGCAGGGCCACCATTTGTCTTCATGGTCGTTCAGTGCATTATATACTTTTTGAAGTCGTTAGGGGCGCTTCAGCATCTGGTTTGGACAAGATTTTAGCGTCGGTTCTATAGTTCCTTTCAGGGCGCCCTTCATCCAGCTCGTTGCTTCATTTTATTTATTTATTTATTTTATTTTTTTTTGTGCGG